TTTAAATATAGAGAAGATTTATAGATTTTTTTTGATGCACTTTTATTTTTGACTTTTTCAGCTTTAACTTTTGTGGCAATCAAAATCTTTCCCAGATTTTAGTGTTCAAACAGCGGTCTGCGGGCCACATGTGGCCCAGGCTTTGGTCACCTAAAAATCATAATTGTCATGTGATCAGAACAGAGCATGATTCGACCGTGCCTGGCAATGTGCAACCCAGAATTACCCTCATTACTTGTGTCTGGACCTGCTAGCGGTTTTTACTAAACAGCTAACACTGCCCCCGAAGGCAAACAAGAAAATTACAATTGAAAATTGTCAGTTTAAGTTCACGTACACTGATGGCAAACTCTAGGCTATGTGTTCAATTTGCAAGGAGCATGTTGGAAAACGATGAACCAATGAAAACAAACTTCTTTTTTTTTACAGTTACAGGCAACAAAAACGTGCGAGCAAGTTGACTTTCTTGTTTTGTAAATCTGACCCAACTACATTATTATTGATTAATCCCTGTCCTTGGATTACAACCTCAGCTGCAATTCCTGTTTCTGTTGTTAAAAAAAAAAACAGGTCCTCAAACATTTTTCCGGCTTTAATATTTTAAATACAGTAAAATCCTAGTCATTACTTTTAGAGCTTTGGTTGGAGGAATACAGAACGACTTCAGTCATATTTCTCTTCACTGAGATCCTCTAACCAGGGTGAGCTCGTAGATTAAATATTTTTTGTATCTCAGCACTTTCCCAGGCCCTGGACGAGTTACAGGAAATAGGATTTCCCAGAAATCCTCTCGTAAAAAAAAAAATGTGCGAGTTAAATTTGAGACTACTGATGTTTGTACTTCAAGATATCGTTGGAGTACTTTAACAGTTTGTTGTTGTTGTGTCAACAAAGGAAGGTAATGGACCCCCAGTGGGCCACCACACCTGATTGAGAACCACTACCATAGACAAATGCCATTTTAAACAAAACAAAAAAAAAAACACAGTAATACATGTTAGTGTCAGGTCCATTGTTGAACTTTTTGTCCCTCAAAAATGTAGTAGTTCTTTGGTATTTGTGGTATTTGTTTTGTCAAGAAAGTGTTGAAACTCAAAGTTCTAGAGTAACCTTCTAGAACTTTAACTCGGCTAAACCCGTCCTCCTGGTTCGTTCCAACCTAATTAGCTATCCTCGGTCCCTACTTCCTGTCTGTAGGATCTGTGTTTCTAAAACATGGTGCGTCACCCAACTCAAACTCAAACAAATTCAATTCAAGTCACAATAAAACTCATGTATTCTCCAAAATATATTTGACAAAAAAAAAAAAAAACAACAACAAAAAAGGCACATTGTTTCTCAACCAGGGGTTGCAGGATTTGTTTGGGCTCCTAAACGTATCTTCTTGGTCTGAGACAGCATGGCTACGTCTCCAGATCTTATAGCACAATTCTTTGGTTTCACTGTCACTGTCACTGTCACAGTGTTTTTTGGAACCAGGCAGAGAACACAAACAAATGAACATCAGTTTCCTTTTTCCTTTTCTTTAAAAAAAAAAAAGTCTCCGAGTTTGGTTCAACAGAGAGAAGGAAATGATATAGACTTAAAAAAAACCCAAGACAAACAAACCACACAAAACTCATCAATAAAACACACATAAAAAAACAAACAAAAAAACAGTAAAAATCAAAACAACACAAGTTTCAGTTGTAGCACGTCTGCCATCTTGGGCAAACAAGACGAACTGAGACCAAGTGTTCGGTTTTTAAGCCTCAAACGCTTGATGGAAAACGAGCTTCAGGTGTGGAGCCAGGTGTTCGTCATCAGTTTGGCCACGCCTCTTAAAGGGACATGCACACCACAAGAGGAAGAGCTGGAATCCTCACAGGCATGTGTTTAATGATAATATTACAATAAATGGTAAGATAGAGTTCAAAGCTGTGGTTCTCAACTACTTTGGGGTCAGAGCATTTTTATTTTTGGAACATAACACTGACAGTTGTAGTCTGAGATGCCATTTGAACTGCAGTCTATCTTTAAGGCGTTTTGGGAATTAATTTTTTTTTTTTTGTATTTTTTCCCAAAATATATATATAGTATGATAAGGCATTTTTAGTCTTTTTTTAAAATTATTTTCAGATACGAACGTTTTTTCTTTTAACACAAATTACACATATTCATATGTTGTGGCATAAACTGCAATTTTAAATAATAATAAAAAAAAAATCATATACTCCTTATTTAACAAATTTAGACTCAACTTCACTTTACTCTGTGGACTAACTCATATACCTCATCATGGCTGCTAGAAAGCTGGTTGACAGTTGTGTTAATTAATAATTAATCTAATTAAACACGTGTTAAAATGCAGCGATTTTATTCTTCTCGCAACTAATTTTGTGGACGGCCTGATTATCCCCGATGTACGAAATTGAAATTGAAATTCAGGAACCCCCAGTTGAACACTATTGTTTAACAGTACACGAGCAGATCTGTTTTTATTCCTGCTTGATAAAAAAAACAACAAAAAAACATTTCTCCCTCATTAACAGTCAGCTGCAGAGAAATGATTTCCACTTCCTGCAGGCGTGACAAAAAGTCACAGATGTTCTTTTCTCCAGGGACCGTTTTATTTTAACGATGATGTGAGTCTAATGATGACATGTGTAAAATGTTACCTACATGGTGTGTGTGTGTGTGTGTGTGTGCCCGTTTAAGCCCTTGGAGCGGAGCATCTTCCACATGTGGGATCATCCCGTCAGCTCCGCTTCCATCTCCAGAGAGTACGTCAGGACTCTGCTGGAGAAACAGCACCAAACCAAGGTAAACCAGCAGTAAACCAGCAGTAAACCAGCAGTAAACCAGCAGTAAACCAGCAGTAAACCAGTGACCCCAGCATCGCTGTACGTCTTCATGATGCTGTCGGTCAATAACTGTCAGATCATTGGCTTTCAGCCAGCAGACATCGAGAGCCACGGGCGTCTTACGCAATACTGGATAAAGAATTTCAGGCTGAACTTTTTTGGAAAAAAAAAGAAAAAAAAAAGTTGCTAATGGTGACTTGTTCTGTGGATTCCTCTTGACGGTGTCTGGACCCTGGATAGAAAAAAAAAACCGTGTGTTTGTGTGTGTGTGTTTTCTCAACTGTTCTCCTCAGGGATTTACATTCACCAGCAGCAGAGACAAGGCAAACTTCAGACCGCAGTTTCTGCCTCTTAGCTACCTGGCAACAAAACTCTGTGATATAGAGGAACAAGGTAACGTATACACCTCGGAGTGGGTACTACATATATGCATATATATACAGTATATTTGTGTATATATATATATATACATATATATATATATATATATTACATATGTGTTTACAACACTGCTGTTGACTTATCTAAACAATGCTGAATAAATATTTTCCTATCAAAACTAATTATTTGACTTAAGTTTTAACTCCCAAAATCAACTTTAAAAAACTCCAGTTGATTTCAGTTTTGTGAGATTTTTTTTGTAAATTTAAAAGCTTTGTAATTAATTGCAATTAATCACGTTTTCTTCAAATAGCAACATTTGACACGACGTGCTAAGCCCAGTTAATCATTTGACGTACAAAATTTGTCTATTTGTCCGATCCCGCCCAGTTAATCATTTGACGTACAAAATGAGTCAACGTCGTTCTATTTGTCCGATCCTGTACATCTTCTTCGTGTGTGGTAAAACACATTTTAGGTGCTTTGCCGCCACCTGGAGTGTGTGCTGGGCTGGAGTGTGTGCATCAGTATTACCAAAAAAAATTAGGTATTTAAATATTTTGAAAAAAATAAATAAATAGAGAAGATATATTTGTGTCTCCTCTTAATTGAGGACATTCTCTCCCTTCATCCTCACCCGTACTCACCCACTGAGCACAGCCACGGTTTCCTAACAAGTATTTGCCATTATTTACACACCGCACACCACAACTCATGAAGGACAGGAAAGATTAAAAAACAAACAACAGTGCATTTGTTTGGTAAGGCCGTCTGTTTTCCTCCCTTCCAGCTCTGAACCCGTTCGATGAGCAGGAGAACGTGGACGCCAGCTTTATGGAGGAGACGGCTCTGAAGCAGACGCTGATACTGCTGGGCTTTGATGAAAAATAAAGCAGGTGGAGAATCAGATGGATGTTGGCGCTGATGGAGGAAAAGGACGACTGGGGGGCAGAAAATGGCTCCGAGGGGAGAGCAGTCGCCATCGACCCGACTGAGGACAAGTTAACTTATTGGCAGATGGTGGAGGGCCAGGAGTGAAAGATGAATAAAAAGATTGAACTGCAGAGGCCTCATAAACAAGCGCTCCCTTTCTGATGACAAACTGAGGAGAGATGGAGGTGGATATGGAACGAGAGGAGCCCAGGGAGGACGGATGGAGGGGGAGGAAAAAGTACTTTTATTTGTAAATTCCCAGGAATCGAAGGGTGAATTGTGAATAAGACCAAAGAATTATGACACGAGTGGAATCCTCGCTCAGTGGCGTTTATCAAATCCAGGAAAGATTCGTCCCGTGTGTTTATTGAAGATCAATATCTGCAGGCAGCTATTTCTACTAACTCTATTTCGTCCAGCAGCAACAATTCTTTCTCCCGCCGCCTTCTCAACTTCCCGGGTACAATTTATGAACATCGGTGTCAAATCGGCCAAACGGCTTTTATAAATCAAACACATTAGTTTGTCCGCCCGTGCTTCCTGTAATGCCGCTGCACACCATCAAGTTGATTAAACGCCGACAAAACCGCCCGTCGGGGTCAGTCGGTGGGAGCTTTATTTTTATTTAAACTGATCGCACACAATGGCCGCAATGAGGAGGGACGCGACCACATGATCGGTGACGTAGAGATGACAGTGGATAAACCGACTGAACAGTCAAGGGACGGCATTCGTTTAAGGGATCGTTATTAAACTGACGGGCTCAAAACGCAAGTCTAGTATTGGAATCCGGAGTATTGCAGTACTCTAAATAAATGTACTGATGTGCCACAGATACTGTTTGTTAAATTGATAATAAACTGTTTGAAGGAGTTTGACTTTTACAATTTTTAGGTTTGTGTTGATGAGCACAGCGCCACACAGTGGTATAGTGATTAGAGCTCTTGCCTGACAACAAGAATCAACATCACTAATGGTCATTCTGTATGGAGTTATTCTTCCTGTCCATGTATTTTTTTTCTAAGTACTGCAGTTTCTTATTGAATTTAAAAATATATTCAGAAATATCTGTTGGATATGAACTCAAATTTGACATTCGAACACTGGCAGCTGAAAACCAAACATCTTATTGATTTCCTGCTCTCATTTTAACTCAATAACTCATAATGAGTTAAAAAAGTTTACCTCTGTTATTTCACACTACTTGAACAACAACTGTGCAAATCAGTGAGTAAACAAACCATTAAATCAGGCTGAGAGTTGAAGGTTAAGAAGACAGTACGAGCTGAAATATTTATACAGAAGACTAAAAAAAAACAACCTTTTACATCATTCCCTACGTCTCACGACTCACATGTTCCGACATCTGGTTTGTGTTACTGGTTTGGAAGCGTGTGCCCTCAATCATGACCGATCGCCGAACTGTAAGTGGAGGAATTCCATGCTCGTGGTTGTAATGTGTGTTTCATAATCCATGAGACGACGTCTGAGTGCTACCACCACGCAAGAGAAAATACCAGAGAATATTTCACGTCACCCTCACTGGAATTGAGAACTTATGTAACGATCCCCCGGAATATAAAAGGGATTTCTTCGTCTGTCGACATTACACAGAAAACGTGTTTTACATGAAGGAGCGTTAAATCCAGTTAGGAGTTGTTTAAATTCCAGGGTCGTTGCATCAGAGTTTACTTTACTTTGACGTTTTTATTTTTTTTCTTCAATTTTTATGAAATGTATGTGGTACTTTTTAACAAAAATGTTCTGTTGCTTTTAGCTGGGGACTAACAAAGTATTTTCTAATACTACTAAATATTTGTATTATTTATACATATTTATTTATACCATTTATACAGAAATGAATTCATCTTCTTAGCAATAACTTTTTTTCCCCATTTTGACTATTAACTACTTGTTCTACTATTGATTACTTGTGGCTAGCTCTTTCCGCCATTGGCGCTAACTCAAACAATTGCAGTGCTAACCTTTAGCTACTCCGCCACAGTTCTGAAACTAAAACAACTATATAGTAACTATAAGTTCTTTTATGAAATTGAAGATTATTCTAAGCTAACTTCTACCAATTACAGTGTTGTTGACAAAACATTTAGCTCTGTTGCTGTTGATGTAATTGTTGCTAACGTATTGGCTTCGATATAAAGTGTTTTAATCTTTAACTGTAAGCTACTTAAGCTAATTTTTATGACAGAAAATAATTGAGAACCACTGTTTTAGGGCAAGGAGTAACTATGTTTTTGCCAACTACTAGCCATTTCTGATTCGTTGCAGTGACCTTTGACCTGTTTGTGCTACTCGTGTTTTCCTGGCTAAAGAATTTCTGGGTGAAGAGTCAAACACTAAAGACCATTAACTCTGTGCTTCTGTCGTTTTCCACACAGCAGTTTTATTGCTTACGGCGAAATCTGGAATTCCACTGACACTGATTCGATCATGCAGGTTCTCTCATGTTTTTGATGACATGTGGTGTTTTGGACGAAATAAGCACCAGTTCCAGTGAAGTCAGGAAATAAACTCAGAGTAAGTCATCAACCCGTGAGTCACAGTTGTCGTTTTTCAGCTACAACTTTTTACGATTCTCCACTTCTAAAGAAAAGGGAAACAAGACTAGGATGGAGTGGAACCTTCTTTTTCTTTTCTTTTTTTTGGTATTTCCTCCATCAAATGGGAACAAATTGCTCATCCTTCACTTGATTGCCTCCTCCGCTCTTTGGTATGCAGCCGGTGTTAGTGTTATGTAGCTGGCTAATAAGCACAAACTGGGGGCTAACTTCATCTGACAGCTCCAACAACCGGCCGGCCATGGATCATCACACCGCCGGGTCGACAAGGTTGTGTCAGAGAAAGGAGAGTCGATCTCAAAGTGGCTGCTGAGAAGATACTCCGAAAGAGTGGAAAAATACTCTGAATTCAGCCGACTAACTTTTTTTTTCACAAATATAGCCGAAAAAGTAAACCGCAAGTCACTGGGCGGTATAACCTGTCTGTTAGGGATGTTGCCCTCTGTCTGCATTTTCTCTTTTTTTTTAGCTTGTGATTGAAACATTTTTAAGTATTTGAACGTAGAAACTAGATCCACTAGGTGGCAGTAATGAAGAGCTGGCGTTGAAATCCCAAGAAAAGAAGTGATCATTAGTGGAAATGAAGAATCAGCAAATGAAAAGAACTGACTATTGTATATTTTAAAAGGCTAAATAAAATTAGTTTTTGTTCAGGAACTGCAGTTTTTTTTTTCATCCTGAAAAAAAGTTTTGTACAGTTTCCAAAACTTGCAGCATATTGTGCTCGTAAGTACTTTAAACTGTGTGTTTTTGTTCCCTGTCCAAGTCTTTAATAATTCATCTCCATATGGCACTAATTTAAACTTGGATCCTTAATTGCAAAGATTTAATTTCGTTGTGGAAGAATCAAAGTCCTACACTTTTTTGAGTCGCTTTTTGAAATCTCAGCACAAACGTTGACTGGGATTTAAAAAACAATAAATTTGGTCTCGTTCACCAAAGGTCAAAGTCGACACTCCTTTCAAAACATTTTGTTTTCTTCCGAACACCTTGAGATATTTATTTGAGAGCTGGCAGACATTTAAACTTGGACTCAAGAGAACCTGCATGCATTTAGAATTGGGGTCAAAGGTCAATGTCTCAAATTGAGTTTAGACGAAATGTGAGGCCGGAACCATTTGGTCAGCGGAGAAGCATGATACCTGGGAGAAAATCCTACTCTTATATTCAGGGTGTTCAGCTAGCTAGCAAAGGTGTGGCTAGTTAGCGATAGCTAGCTTAGTTATTGCAACAACTTAGCCAAAAAACAGTTGAATAAATTGATAAAATTATCCTTGAAATTATGAAAAATGCAGAAGGAATTCAAAAAAAAAATATTGCAACAACTTAGCCAAAAAACAGTTCAATAAATTGATAAAATTATCCTTTAAATTATGAAAAATGCAGAAGGATGTGTTTAAGGTGAAAACACACACTCATGGTGTGTGGACATGTCCTCGGTCCACGAACACACACGCTGACCAGCTGCCCTGGGCACAGTCAATGTTAAAAGCTTTGTTTTCATTCTTTTCCAACCACTTCTGAACGCTCAACGCTATTTAAAGCCACACTGATGCATTTTCCACTGCGATCTCACCCCTCTCTCCCACTCTCTCTCTCAGCTTCTTCCCCGTCTCCCAGCCTCACCCTCTCTCTCTCTGCTCGTCATTGAAATTCCTCACTCCCTCTGTCATTCGCTATGCTCTTTATAGCCTCATGTTTCTCTCCCCCGTATTTACATTTATCATTTCAGACACCGAGCAGCCTCGTAGCCCAGAGCCCAGGGCTTAGACCCGCTGCAATTCTTTCATCAGTGGAGCCGAGGATACAAAGGCAGCGGAGTCTGAATATGAAGGAAAGTGTGTAATGAGTGATAATCAGGCTGAGAGCAGTCAAGGAATATAAAATATTAAACCGCTAAATGACTGAACTGGGCTCCGACTCTCTGTGTTACTGTAACTGAACTGCTCGTAATCAAAGTCCTGGTACCAGTAAGTGTAGAAAAAAGAACACAATGACAAACAGATGTCATTACACAGCAGAACAGCAGCAGTGGGTCGGACAGCCGGGATGAAAACAGAACAACAGACTTCCCCGGAAAAAATATGCAAAACATCACTTCCAGGAGGAAATTTCCTGAATTTGACTCACGATGCAGATACGGAAACTCAAGATATTTACAAGTCAACTTTTATATTATGGCCCTTCATTTGTTTCATAATGTAAAAACCTTTAGCATTTTTGGTGCAGTGTTTTAGTCTGTAAAAAACACTAACATATATTTTTTTAAAAATCAAACAAAAAAAAAAGCAACTCTTGAAGCAATTTATTCAAAAGTCAATAATTGTCGGTCACATTTCTAACGGTTTCATGGTCGGTTTGCGGAAGTGCCTCATGTTGGCTCCAGGTTGCACGGGTTTGAACGGGGCCTGGGCTCCGTAGGGTTTGGGCAGAGGGAGCAGCTCGTCCTGGGGGACGTAGGCGTTGGGACGGGTTTCCGCCGTGGTGTACTCTCCGTTTGGCAACCGGTTCCATTCATCTTCTTCAGCCAGCTGTTGCCACACAAACACACGCAGCAAAGTCAGTTTAAATATTTAATGTCCGTCCGCACGACCTTGGACTGAGACTGTTCGATGTTCAATTTTCCCCCAGAATTTTAATCATGCAAATGGAATAATTAATTTTTTTTTTTTTGCCTGTTTTGAAAAGTTCAACAAAGAGTGCAAGGGCGACTGAGCTCAGGCCCCTGAACCTTTGATTTGTTTTTTTTGCATTTTTATCTTCTACAAACAACGGAGTGATCAGTAATAACAGAAAAGTAAACGTCACCTGCAGAATTATATGGAAAGGAAAGTTGGGAGGATAAAGACAGGGACGATGGAGTTCCAAGGTAGAAGAGAAATCGGAAAAATCACAGAAAATATACATGGATTTAGTAAGGGGTTTCCAAAGTGAGGGGCGAGGCCCTCCCTGTGGGCGTGGAAGTATTTAAACTGAGGTCACAGCACAGCAAATTCACTGAATTTTTTTTCATGCCTTATGGGGAATTGCACATATTTGTAATTTCATTTGCTCTGTTCAAGGAATATAGTAGTTTCGTTTGGAGCCACCGGGGGTGATATATATACCAAAGGTTGTCGCTGATGGAAATAAAAGTTTTGGAATCACGGCATTTGGTGAAGGAGGACATAAAGACGTTTGGTGCAACAGTGACCGGGTTGAGGTCTGGATTGAGATGAAAGCAGATGGTCTGCTGCGATGACCCCCGGTGGGAGCAGCAGGGAGAGGACGAGGAAGACGAAGAAGAAGAAGAAGAAGACGAAGAAGACAGAGGCTGTTTATTGAGGCTGATGCATCAGTTTGTCACATTCCTCCTGCTGCGTGTGTGTGTGTGTGTGTGTGTGCATGCGCACATCCTTATGATGCAACCCCCCTCTTTAACTTACATCCGACCACAGTGTGTGTCTGCACTGATCCTAAATTGACAATGACTCTTCAAAGAGACCAAAGTTTGTGAACAAAGACGAATGACTTTACATGAAAAAAAAAGAAAAGAAATAAAAATGAAAAATCATTCACTGGACGCAAAATAAAGAGAACCTAAAATAAAAGTGCGACTCTCAGCTTGTCCCTTTACTCCTATTAAAAAAAAAAAGAAAAAGAAAAGAAACTTGAGAAGTGGACGGACAAGCTGATTGGCTGAACCGACGATGGGAGACAAAGAGGTTAAAGCAGATTGGAGATGAAGACGATGGTGGAGAAAGACTGTGCTGATGAGACCGTGGCAGTTACAGAGTCAGGGCAGATGAGGGCAGGGCAGATCAGTGTGGCCGTGGGGCGGCCAGATTGACTAAAACCCCGGAGACTTTGACCGCCCCCCCCCCCCCCCCCCCCCCCCCCCCGGCTCCTCCACAGGAGTGAAGCCCTGATAAAAGACACATCACTTTATGGACGGTCAGACTGCAGGTGGCAGCTCTGGTGTCAGACGCCGGTGAGCCCAGTAAAATGGAACTCCACTCTCCTCCTCCACTGCGTGTCCCTCTGCCTTGTTCAACACCTGTGCATGTTGTTGTCAATTGTCTGTATCAATGAGCCCAGGTACCCATCAGCCCTCTTTTGTTGCCCCTCTCGCCTCTGAATCGATCCCTGCCCAGCACCCCGTCCCTCCACTCCACTTCCTTTTTTTTTTCCTTTGTGGCTCGGCCTCGGCTTCGTTCGTTTCCCTGACCGCTGTTCTTTGTGTCTGTGTCGGTGTCTCATTTTCTTTACCTTGTCTTTCTCCTCTTTGTCCCTCTGCCTCCTCCTCTTGTCCCGGAGCATCCTCCTCCACTCCTCCTCCATCTCGGGACACGGAGGCAGGCCCTGCTCCAGCCGCCGCTGGCACATTTCCATCTGGAAATAACACAAGAAGAGGTGACGGGAGAAACTTTGTATTCCTGTCACTGTGTCCACCCTGTGCACCGCTGCCGGGCTGATTCAATTCTGTCTGCGACTGGAAACAGATGGTTGTATTACAGGGTTCACACTTTTTTTTTCTTAAAAGTATATTCCAGGACTTTTCCAGGGCATTTTTCAGCTGCTACAATTATGACAAGAAAACTGTTTTTTATTATTTTTTCTTACAGTTGTATATATTTTACATTTTTCTTGCCCTGTTGTTGTTTCTAAATATACACAGACAGAGGAGTCTGTGGCTGCGGGAGAGAAAACTCACACACAGTCTACAGCGGGGGTCACCAAATATATTTGTCGAAGTGCTTGACTTTTTCGAAAACAGACACCTTGGGGATTGGACACACAGAAATCGCATTTTGTGTAACGTTATTACTTGATGTTTATTTTGTAGTAGAGGGCCGGATTGAACGGTTTGATGGACTACATTTGGCCCGCAGACCACCAGTTGTGAATCACTGGTCTGAGTTATGTGATGGACCAGTAGTTAGTAGTTAGTTTCATCGACTTGTAATCAAAAACAAATCAATACCCAAGTGTAAATATCAAAACTAAATGTGAGGTCACGCAGCGACTGAAGAATAAAGTGAGGGCGAGAGCCAATCAGAGCTAGATTTTTTGGCGAGAAGACAGGATGTCCAATCGATCGCAAACTTTATTTTTTTTTACAAAACAATTGGCTCACTTTGTTTTCAAGACAAACTAATGAAACTTTTTTTGCTTCACATTCGAAAAGACTTGACACAAGAGGTTTTTTATAGACTTTTTTTTAATGAGCTGTATTCATTAAGACACACACAACACTGGTGTGAACGCCTGTGTGTGAATCTGATTTAATTAACTACGCGGTACATTCTAGCACTTTCTTCTTGAATTGTATTACTTTGTGGTTTTAACTTGGCCAGGATTTAATTAATTAAAAAACACATGGAACAAAATTAATAAAAGCTGATGACAGCGAATCAGGTGAAGTTAAAGAAAACTACGTTTAACTCACGGGCCTTAAGTTTTTTTTTCTTTTTCAAAATTACACGTGGGTCTAAGCAGAATTTTAGCAAGAAAACTACGTTTAACTCACGGGCCTCAAGTTTTTTGTTTTTTGTTTTCAAAATTAAACGTGGGTCTAAGCAAAATTTTAGGAAATTTTATTTTTTTATTTAAGTATTATGCCACCCTTTAATGTTCTTGTAGCCCAGATTACAGCCACGTCATCACAGCAACGTGTTTCCATGTTGATTGAACAATTTTAATTTTTAATTTTTTTTTTGTAATGACCTAAAAAAACGAGATTTAACATATATAACATGGCAGGATTTTTTTCTCCCAAAGCAAAAAAAAAAAATATCATTCAACATCGGGGCTCCTCTCAGATGGCCTCAGATTTTTTTCCCATTGACTCTCAGCTCACATCTTCACAGATTTGATTTAGTCTCGGAGCTGAAATCATTTTCGGGGAAAGAAAACCAGGTGCTACCAACACGCCCTGCTGAGCAGCAAATGGAAGGAAGGCATTGACAATTTCTGCCGGTGAATATCTAACGAGACGCTGCCTAATTATTTATTTAGCTCCAAAATGTGGCCTTTTATACCCAGGGTTTTGCCCTTTTTGCACAAACAGGTTTTTTTTTTATTCCATCACCGGTGTATTGAAAAACTAAAGAAACACCGGCGCTTCCTCCGTTTTTACCAATGAAAATATTTGTTCATCAGTTGACCGACCTGGAAATTAAATTCTGTGATGCCTTTCACTCATTTATTTGTGGCGTTGTATTTTCTCTGGGTTTCGTTTATTAATGTTAATAATGAAAAAAAAAAAAAAACTGTCTTTGTGTCTGCGGCTCTGCTTCAACTTTTGCTTTTCAAATAGGAAAAATAAACAAGTCTAGAGTCTGGAGTCGTGGTCAGTGGACGGTGACAGGAATAAGTGGATGAAAGAGGAGAAATCAGAACCAGGGTTTTAGGGATTTTTGTGGGATTTTTCCGTGTGTGAGTGAAGGGCCATTTCTGACCTGCAGCTCTCGCTCGCTGATCTCCTGTTGTTGGGCTAGAGCTGCCGCCTGCTTCACCGACAGCTCTGCAGAAATGGCCATCAGCTGCCGGTTGGCGTTGTTGATGTCGGTGCGCAGCTCGTTAAGCTGCAGGTGGGAAAACACACACGGGGGGGGGGGTCAAAAGGGTCACAGCCTGCTTCTTGGTCTCAGCTGTGGAATGATATTCAGTTTTTTTCAAATGTTTTTTTAGTTTTTGAAAAGAAGCTTCAACAATATTAAATTGTTTTTATTCCAGCTCGGTTGAAAACAGAAGGTTTGCTCGGATTTCGAGGCTCGAGACAGATTTGATGAATAAACTTCTCAGAGACGCCTGAGAGATTTAGAGACGTCTGTTTGTCTTAAAACTAAAGAAAACATATTTATACTATCAAAGACGGTGAGATAGTTTTAGTCTGAGTTCGCATGAACTCATGAACAAGGCACAAAATTGGCTTTGCCTTTCTGTACCTGTAGAGGGAGCTATGAATACTTTTAAATACCACTGGCCAAAGGTTAAGTCAAAACATGTTTTCAAATAAAAATAAACCAGTGATGTGTGTATCGAGGTCTTGGTTTGGATATATCGATACTCACACAAGTGTCGATTCAGGTTCGATTACGCTCATAAAGTATCAATACTGATTAATAGATGAAAAAAAAGCAAATGTGTCGCCATCACATCTTTCATGTCACGTTACTACTGACCAGAAAAGAGCAGTAAATCCATGTGAGGTCGAACTATGTAAATATATAAAATTGCCTAATTTTGTCATGTTTTTAATGGGTAAAAAACATTCAAAGGATCAATATTGTTATTGAAAAAAATGTCAAAAAAAAAATCATTATCGTATCAAATTAAAAATTCTGATATGACCCAAACGACACAAAACCTGTTTTTTATCATGTAAGTTCTACTCCTGGGAACTACTCACTACTTTTGTTAGGATTTCAACTCTCTATACACTCGAAAACTTTCCACACAGATGCAAAAAAAAAGTAAAAAATAAAAAATTAAGGACAGGACAGTGTTTGCAAATGTAGCAGGAATAGTGAGGTGAGGTGAGGTGAACTACTGTACGTACGGTCCACACACTGTCCACCCACAATGTGTGACTGCTCTATGACACAAAGACGTCAAACCTTCTTGGCCACTGACAGTCTGTCCTCCTGACAGTTCTCCACCCGCTCGCTGAGGGGCTTCGAGAGTCGGGTCACCTGCTCCACCAGGAGCTGCTTCTCCAGCAGCTGTCGCTCACGTTCAGCCAGAGTCGCCTCCAGCTGCACACAGAGACGATTTGTAAAAAAACAAAACAAAAAACAACATTGTGACATTGTCAGAGTGGAGTCGAAATGACAGTTATATTTTTTTAAGAGTTTCTTTTCGACACCTGCTCAACTTTCTTGACCAGATCCACAGTCGAAGGGTCGTTGCCTTTTGTCTCTTTGTAATCCACGGTTCGACTCAGACATTCGATTGTTTTGTCTCTGGCCTCTGAAAGCTAAAGGATGGAGAGAGAGTCAGAGTCAACGTCAATATTCTGGGCTGTTTTTGACGTTCACAAACATTGGCGCCTTTTGTCCTTGTGGCGTTTAATGACACTGTCAATGGGAACGCTGCTGCTCCAGGGATCAACAATATGAGCAGCACAATGTCAACACTCCTGTAAAGGATTCTTCATTGAAGAGTCTCTGATGGAACTCTTCAATGTTTATACAACATGTTCATTGATTTTTTTTTGTTCTGTTTACTGTGACCTTAATGTTCAAGTTCATTTTGACATTTCCAACCCACTGTTTTTCAGTTGAGTAGAACAGTGCAATTAGATCCACCTTATTGTTAGTTTTTCGCACACTGGCCCGATATTAGCATATTATGTAATATCTGTAAGAATCCTTATCGGGGTTTCCGTCGATAATTAAAAGTCGATAACTCAATGCCTGGGTTTCGCCAAATGATGTGTGCCCGAAAAATAGTTTTAGGGAACAACGGTTGTATATTACAGTGAACGTCACTAGGTGGCAGCATTGCAGCTCATTTAATTAATCTCATACTCATACAGCGGGTTGTAGAGATAAATAAATACATATCACCAGGTCTATATCGGGATCGGTTGACATTGGAATTGGAAATCAAGTGTTTGGACAATATCGGCATATCGGATATCAGCAAAGGGTTAATATCGGACATCTCCACTTTTAGCACATCTCCAACTCAATGGTTGTAGATGGTAAATTTTAATAATCCCGCCGCAAAGTTTACACACATGACTTTTTGTGTAATTATAAACAGTTGACATTTTCTTTTTCTTTTTTTTTTTATCTAATGTCACTGTGCTTTGAGAAATCTGCAGTTCATTACAGAACCACAAATGGAGGCAAACAACCACTTAACCACACACACACTTAACACCAAATCCATGATTTTTAACTGTGTGAGAAAAACATTTGGAGAAAAACCCACTTGCACACAGAGAAGATTCAAACTCATGCAGAAACAGTTCAGTTACCACAGGGCTTAAACAGATAATCTCCTTATAGTAAGGCCAGAACACTAACCCACCAACCCACCACGTTGCCCTTAGCTATGCAAGAGAATTAAAAAAAACAATATTTCTACAGCCTACTACTGTGAGTTACACAATAAAAACATACAGTAAACAACATTCTGTATCTCACAGGCTCATTTAGGCCTTAAAACAACAAAAACAAAACCTGCAGACTCAAACACACGCCACACCACCAAATAAGTCTGAAACATCAAAGCATAGCAGCAATATTAACAAGAAATAGTTGCTTCTGTCTTTTTCCCCATTTCCTCCAGGTCTGCAAAATGCCTTTTTTCACAGGGGAGTTTAGAAAAAAATGCCGAAAGGTTTCTCAGCTGAATGTACTGCCTTTACTGCAGCCACTGCCAGCTCACTAACAAGTCACTGGAAAAGTGTGATAAGGGAAAAACCCCAAATTTAAAACACCACTGTATCCCTCCGAGGTGCTGCATCTTGTCCTCATCCTTTAAGACACCAGTGTAGAGGTGTGGTGAGGATGCATTTAAAGCCCCCCGAAAAAGGTGATTTAAAGGGAATAAAGTGTCAAAAACGCAGCCAGGAGGACCGGAGGAGACCAAAGAGTCGATTTAGATTCAAGCCTTTAGCTGGGAGTAAAATACCGACGATGGAAGCAGTGAAAAAAAAAAAAAAAATGAAAGTGCATATAAAGGAAATGTGCATGTATACTGCAGTGATTAAAGCCTCGAAAAAAATGGCAGGTGATGATGTGGCATCACAGGCAGCACTGTGGCAGTAAAAGAAGAGAAGAAGAGGAGACAACCGAAGGCCAATGAATGTGAATCCAAACAACACAGCCTTTAAATGTGGTTCGAGGAAAAAAAACGAAACATCCCTGGTTTTCATTAGACGTCACGCGCCCTGATGAGCATCGCATAGTTTTAACAATAATCAGGCAAATACAGAAACAACATTCCAGCTTTTAACTATCATCGGATGTTAACCTCAGGAGAGGATTTGTTGTGCGTTGTTTTTTTTTTGTCCAACGAGAAAAAAACTCTTTTAAAATTGTCCAGACATATAACAAGATTAAGGAAAGTCACAGACTGAGGTTGAAACCGTTTTTACAATGGATTATATTTATGGTGGGAAAATACACCAGTAATATGATGTATTACTGAATATTTTATCCTTTACTTCAACCTTATCATCTTGTTGGCTCCTAATATGTTTTATCTTCTGCGCTGGAGTCATTGTGTTTCCAGCTTGGTGTCAAACTCTGAAAAAATATGGAAAATTCTTCCTCCTCTAACAAAAATAAAGGTAATACTGTGTATAGTCATAAATACTTAAGTAATACTTGGTAACCATTTAATTAAAATATAACTCAAAGTTGTGGGAGTGACAAATGATTAAAAACTGTCTTTTTGAAGTTACTCAATTAATTTTATTACTGACAAACTGAAATACTGCCATCTACTGGGCTGGAGTATTCATCAAAGGAATGACCTAAAATTTAGTGAGTAGTTCATGTCCTTCAAAGACACAGGTAAATGAAAAAAAAAGTCTTTGTAAAGTGAACCAGTTAAAAACCAAAGCAAACACCAAATTTAACCAAGTTAAAAACAAAGCCTGTTCAATTATTTAAAAAATGTTATTTGTCTACCAACCTGGATTTTTATAAAAAAAAAAAAAATTTCAAGGCAAGGAAATAAATATAATTATCTAAAATTATATTTGAAAAACAAAGCCAATAAACAAAAAGTCCAATTAACATTTTATCAGAAAAAGTATCCGCTACTGCAGTGTTAAAAAACTTCTGGAATCTTCCATTGGAAAATAGAGCTTGTCATATTCATTGTCTAAAGTCTGGCTACGGAGACAAAGATAAATAAGAAGTCAGGTGCCGGGAGTGTAGTGTGAGAAACGAGCAATTAAAGCAGCGACGGCGTCTCAACAGGGAAATTAATGCAAATGCCCAGTCAACCCAGAGGTAGTCTATATATAAAAATATATGAAGCTACTGTAGGATGATCAAGGAGCCATGACAGCAACCATAAAAGGAACATAAGCAGAAAATAGAAAGAAGGAGAAAACCATAAATCACATGACGGAAGGCAATAATTTGAGGCAGGGAAAAAAAGAAGAAAAGAAATCTCTTGAGGAAGTATTAATGGATTCCTGGGGAGATCAGTGAAGGGATGAACTCCAAGTGAAGAGGAAGTGATTTGGTAGATGGGAGATAAAGACAGGAGAAGGGTGTGGAGGCAACAGAAAATGATGAAGATCCAGGGTGAGGAAGGAGAAACGTCCTCTCCGTCGATCTGAGTGTGTGTGTTCAGTGTGAGACTTTAAAGACGGCGTGGAACAAAGGGACGACTTTTCCTTCTCTTCCTGGATGAGCCTAATGAAGCGTCTCTGATGTGAACGGACCAACCCGAGGTGTTCAGGCCTGGTCTAAGGTGGATGTTTGTGCCTCATGATCCAATGACGCCGGCTTTACGTTAAGGCTAGCGCTGTCATGTGATTAACTGATCGCTGCAGATGGGGCAGAAATAATACATTTGAAGACGGGAAGGTAGAGAAGAGAGAGGCAGCAGAAAGATTCTGAGGCAAAAGTGACAAGTAAACAAAACAGATTCAGAGGGAGAAAAGCCAAAAAAAAAAAACAAAAAAAAAAACCCAGAGTTGATCAGTGGGGATTAAAGAGATGTAGTTTGTTCCAGTGAATGCAGTTTTGACCATTATTCCTGTTTACTGTTTCAGCAGGCGATCGCAGAGTTCATCATTTTAAAAAGAAAAAAACCAAACACAGCAAAAATATACTGCCGAACGGATATAACTACCCTCAAAATATGATGACAAAATATGAGCATGGTATAAACCGTGAACAGACATTTGGAATCTTTGTTTTTATTATGACAGGATATAAATAAAAATGAAACTACCTATTGAACGTCACTGGGAGGACATTTATGGAAAGAAGTTTAAAACAATCAATGTTGGAACTTTTTAACAGAAGAAAAACTAAACAAATTTCTAACCTAAATTCATAAAAATAGCTGAATGCAGATTAAAAAAAACAATGTAAAATTAACCAGTCTTTTAGTGATAAAGAGAATAAAATAACCTTGTGAAAATTTTTTATCCCTTCCCGATAGCAGGTGATAAAACTAGAATTTTACTCGTCCAAATGTCATAACTGACCTGGAAGTGCAGGCATTGCAATAAAGAAAAGTCCATTTTATTTTTGACCTACCAATAAATGCTGAAACCAGTGACCTTCAGTTCAACTCTGATTGGATCAAAGGCAATGAAGATGTTTGAATCATCTGAGGATAAACGTGGTCTGATGATAACATCTGCCATCATCACACCCAGACCGAACTTTTTTAGAGATTGATCGACGCCTGTTCCAGTCTAATTTTTTAGCCACGCCAAGTCATTTAAAAATATATGACGGATGGAGGTTACGGAACGTTTCCCACTCCACCGGCTCCCTCCCTTTTTTCCCCTTCACACCCTTTTTTTTAACGACATTTTTACACTTGTCCTTTTCCTGCTGCTGCCCATGTGCGCAGTTTGTCTTTCCCTTTAAATTCATCTGTCTGCGTCAGTGTCCTTGTTCTGCCTTTCTGCCTGTCTGCGTGTCCGCTTTGTTCTGAGTGTCACAAAGAATAGCTGCTAGTCTTGGCTCACAAATGTTGTAAAATGTGGCACACATGACAGGGCAGCACCCAATTTGCACAGAACTCTTGTTAATTCACTTAGCAATTAACATAACGGCTTAAATAGCTGCACGGCAGATGGCACAGTGGAGATGCTGAAGGTATAGGATGAAGAAAGACTCCGCTTCTCAGGAGAGCATTTAATGCAGTGCGAGTTAGTTAAGAGGACAATACATTTGTTTTTTATGAGATTAGATTCCATATAAGGGAACTAGTGTTTTCCCACTGGTTATTGGAAACACAACACATAATGGAAGCATAGAGCTG